GAAGTTGCAACAATGAGGTCAATCCACTTCTATAAATCGAAAGGAGACTGCGGCAATACCATAGTCCACAACATCTTGGTCTTCATATCTATATTAGGCTATGACTACCTCTAAAATCTATATATTTCCCGAAATGCATTTGTGACGGCTAATCTAGGTGATTAATTTTATGCATTACTCATACTTTTACATTGGAAGTTTCAAGTAAATATGTGGTTGTACTATTCAATTAGACATTTTGCTGAAGATATCTACTTGCTTTTTACTAAGTCTCCATGCAAGTGCTGTGACGGCAAGCCTAAAGGCCTAATTTTTTTGCACTATCCTTCTTATATTAACTTGCTTGCAATGGGTTATTTCAAAGTTACTGAGAACCCGATTGCTATTAATGTGTTTCAGTTTCTTATGCTATTTTAAGACTAATAATGACTTTACCCTTTTGCATGTATTATTCTGTGAAATTGAATGCAAATTCGGCAAATAGAATCACTCACGGTCTAGCACAATATTAAACTGGTTCACTTACATAACTCCCATTATTAGGCTTTTTTGCCGAATTTTTGGCTTTATTCTAAACGAATATAGGATTTTGTACATTCGTGATTATCACTCTTTATCATCACAATATTTATTCCATCTCATTTTACCCCTTGTTTGATTTTGTTTAATATATCCTAAACCCTATTCTTATTAGCTATGCTTTGCATCTTATCTTAAATTCATTTTGCCTTTTTAGCTCACTATTTCTTATCCCGTATCCCCATATCCCATTCAAACCACTACACTCAACACCCTTCCACCATGCAATATCTCATTTCTTATTACTATCTTATCGAACTTAAATTGTAGTTGATACGAGCCCTGACCTCGCAATTTGGCAGTTCGTCTGTCCAACAGGAATCAATGTCCTAACACGCCGTCTGGGCTACACATTGCAGCCAGATGCCAGCATGCCTGAGTACTATCAAAATCAGCAGCAGCCACATTCGTTGCAGCCAACTCAGACAGACCAAGCTCATAAACCATTAGGACAGGCGACAGAAATTGCTGAAAAGTTTCATTCTTCTTGCCCCTTCTTGCTCTCTGAACTGTACACGACTCCACAGCCTAGTGAGTAACTTGTTTTGTTTCTTAGACAGCATCATTATCGACCCTTCTACTTTTTTGCATAGCTTTAAAGGCAGCATCCATCATGAAAACTACATCTGTTTAGGCGAGCTATGACGCCGATGCTATGAATAATAGCCTATCAATACTGCTGAATCGTGGGATGCGATTCGTAAAGTAAGGTTCGGGTATATAGGAAATATAAATAGAGAATTTGCAGTTAAATAATCCTAGTGGAGCCTACCAATATAGGACTTGATAGCTTTATATTATGAAATAGTTTTCCGAACAGTTGGCATTATATAATGTAACTATACTTTTAAGCTGCCATTTAATGACTATCTTTGTCGCTACCTCATAAACTTATAGAATTCTTAAATACTTATCAAGAAAAAACGCATAAGGTAGTCTGAGGTCCAATATGGTAGTCTCCCTGCCATATTGGACTTTATTTAAGTACTCTTGTACATCTTTGACTTTTATTCCTGTATGCAGCTCTATATTAACACGCATTCATGTATAAATCATTCCTACACCTGGAGATGTCTTCGTATTTATTTGCACGTACAAATATACATATACTTTTTAACACATGCACATAATCGCATGAGTTCACGTTCATGATCTTAATCCACTCTGACGATCCTTACACATTTAGCCCTCTTCTTGGTGGTGTCTGGCCCTCGCGTCTATCTTTGGCAGGGCTGGTGGCCTGGAACTACCAACTCAATCGCTAGTCCTCCGGTTCCAGGCGTCGTGTCTACTGATGGAACCCCAATCGAACAAAACATCAACTTCTTTACTCCAAGCAAATGTAGCAATAATATAGAAATTCCAAATGCAATCGATGCAGGTGGCGAAAGTCAGTCTGGTCCTTTTTGTCAATCTGATTTGTCCTCCTGCTCGACCTCGACAACCACATCGCCAGCTCCTGACATCGAAGGGCCTGATGACATAAATGTCTTTGCCTCTAACCTTCCTCAGACTGCAATCAGCTCTGTTATACCTGCATCATCGGCAGCTGCAACTAGCACATGCGCAGCTGGATCAGCCGTCTTTCGATTCCACGCACTTAAAAAGGCTGCCCTTGAGACGACAAAACTTCTCTCTCTGCTGAGTGAGTCCAATTTTACCTTACATCCCATTACTTAGACATCTAAACTTAAGTATCCTTGTATTGTTCACATTTTTCGCTAATATGGACCATGCTACAACATCAATTAGATGTGGTCTGACCTCCTTTTTGCAACTTCATCCTGTGGTCAGGGTGACTTGGTTGGACGCACCTTGTCCGAAGTCATCTGCTATAGTAGTTGTTATAATTCCTAGCGTCAGACCGTGGACTTTGCACATTCTCACACGTTTGACCAGCATCGTAGTCGGCATCTTCAGTGAGTCTTGTCATTCTCAGCACCAACTGGCCAAATCGTCAAAAAGACGGGTGTAGCTTGAGGCTGAGAGTGGCAAGACTAACTGACGATACCGACTACGATACTGGCGAAACGTCTAAGAATGTAACAAGTCCATGTTCCGACGCTTAGAAATACGATGCCCACTATAGCAGAGGGCTTCGGACAATGTGCGTCCAACTAATGCGCACTGACAACAGGATACTGTTGCGAAAACGGGGTCAGACCACATCTATACATCGAAAGAAGACTGCGACCAAAATAGAGGCCACAACCTTTTGGTCTTTGTATAGCATCAGCTAGTTGTCGATTAATTTCCCATTTTAAGATCACTAGAAGCAAAAGTGCTACAATTGCTTGTAACTTGCTCCGTTTTTTTTGTAACATTTGCATATTTGATTGTTTATATCATAGGCATCCTTTAATAAATTTTCTAATCCCATCCATAACCTATCCTAAATTTAATCACAATTCTGCTCAAAATAACTAACATTTTTTGGTTTAGTTCTAAGAGTTGGCTCAGCTCTCACAACAAACCTTTAGACAGAAGATCGTGTTTACTTGAGGAGGATATGCAGCACTTTCATCCGTCTAGACATTACATTGAACCCATTTGTATCGATGGGAGGAAACATTCAAATTACAATTGTCTGTTTAACTACATCAACGCATATTACCTCCACACGCCTACGGCTAGGGTTTGATGTCAGAGCTGAATAGTTAGTTGTTCACTGGATCTCTTTCCGACATTATTTATCGTGTGGCTACAATACAAATATTCTTCATATTTGTAAGAGAGCATAATTATCGCTGCGTCTGAGCAAATCGTTAAAGAGTCTAAATTATTCCATTCATCATGAATTTTCGTACTACAACCTAAGCTTCGTAAAATATACATTGGGAAAGCTATGTGAGCCTGAAAGAATGGCGTAAGTACACAAATAGACCTCATTAATGGCGCCGTTTCTTTAACCTGATGGGGCTAGGACAATGCATGATTTAGGATTAATGTTTTTTTCCTGAACCAGCCCCTCCTTGGTTTGAATCCTGTCGGTGTTGCGATCTTACCTAGACAGGTCAATTACAAATGGCCAAGACTCGAAGCGATCAAGTATGTCTTTTCAGTCCTCAATGAGCTTCATTTATGTTTCTGGAATCTTTAATACAACGCTCATTTTGAGAGGCACATAACACTTGATAATAATTTTGCCTTTTTTTCTCTTATCTGCCTTGGTACCAACAGATTAATGCTAAAAGGCTTTATTGTTATCTTACACCTTAGTCCCAAATAATGTAGGTATCGCCCAGCTTGAAGCTCACAACTTGAATATTAGCGAACAAGAACAAACGTTTCCAATCACCATAATAGGATTACTACCGTGACACTTATTATCTTTTGTAGTTGGGACCAACCGATGTCCCATGCTCATGCATGACATGCTTCTAAGTGTCTGCGGCTCCAGATATAATTTGCATTTTGAATAAAAATTTTGGTCAAAACCACCATTCCAAGTTCAAATAGTGGAAGAAAGTATTCTTGACTACCTGCTGACTCGAAATCAGCTCATGTATAATGTGGGTACATTTAGAATGATTTTCATTGGTTCACAACAATATTGTCAAAGGTTTTTCGTCATGTTCTTTGTCAAGTTTTCTTTTATGATCAGGTTTTCGAAACTAACAGTATATCTTATATTAGAACTGTATTCACGCTATATCGTTTGTAGTGACTGGATTGTGGGAAACTTCAACTGTCTGTTCTTCATTATCTTTAACGAAATAGGTTGAATACATTGTATTGTGAATTGCCTTGTACGATATAATTTCATGGCTCTGATTAATTTAATATTCCTATATGTAAATTTTGCTAATTCTTTAGTTTACTTTCTTAACAGTCGGTGCAGATTTCGCTCGCGTTGTTTACTCTGGACTAGAGCCTCCAGATTTCTTGGCCCATTTTCCTGCCTACGAACGTGATCCATCTTCTTCCGCGTGTCACCTGTTGGTGAGCCATATTCTGCCTTTATTCACCATCCTGTTATTACTTGCCTTTTCAGCATTCCAGACATGGAAAAACGCCTTCCTGCTTACCGTTGCCTTTGACTTAGTCTTATTATCAAAGAGACTTCAAAGAACTTAGCTCTTACTCCGTCTTCTACTATTGGCCTCCTGTATTTTTCAGGCATCGTGGCATTGCATTTTTAGATTCTACCCCAAAATTTCGTCGGCACCATCGTTGGTTACATCAGGAAATGGCTGAAGTTTACCACTGGGCTACAGCTCTGATGACAAGTATTACCTGTTCCACTGACAAATTTATTCTTGAACGGTTTTAGGATTTATCCTCCCTCCGTCCTGGTACAATTCCCATCTCATAACATCATATCCTCGTGCCCACTCCAACTTCATAGGAGCATGTCTCTCATTTACCCCAACTAATACACTCTAGGCTTTATCCATGCTTCATCCTGTCGGCTGAGCAATTTTACTCGATCTCAGCCAGTGTGCACGCCATTCTTGAGGAGCTATTCAGATGACTGGCTTCAGAGGTATGATAGCGCCAGTGCGATCGCCCCTTCGCGGACGACGGCAAAACCATTTTTCCCACGCATACTGTCCTATTAGATCTGCTAGTGTTCAGAACCGAGAATTCGCTGGCATCATTCTCTCTCCCATTTCCACCACACTCCCTGGAGCTTTTTGACATGGCATAATTACTATTTCATAATTATATTTTTCTTTTCATTGTCAACGAGTTTAAAAATGGTTAGAATTATTATTCAGCCTACAAGTTGAGCCGTCTTATTTTGGGTGGCGGCTCAACACAAACACACACACACACACTATCTTTTAATCTTTCAATTAAGCATAAGTAATCTTTAGTATGAAGACCAAGATGGTGTGGCCTTTTGTATGGTCGCCGTCTCCTTTCATTGTATAGAGGTTGGTTGACCTAGTTTTCGCAACTTGGTTATATTGGTAGGGAGACTTAGAGAAACGCACCTAGTCCGGAGACCATTGTATGCATAATACTTTCCAAAGTCGGACCCTGGACGTGGTACATTCCCAAACGTTTCGCCGACATCATAGTCGGCACCATCAATGAGTCTTGCCATTCTTACCACCATATAACAACTCGTCAAAGACAAGTAAGCCTATCCTTTGACCAAATGTGTGCTAAACAGTTGTGGTATCTCCCATTCTGCCCTGGGTTTTCACATTTCATATATCCTTCTATAACACCTTCACTGTCACAATTTTTGCCTATTTAGATGTAGTGTAGTGTGCTCCTTTGAGCGGCATACATGAAAACCCTTCACACTCCACACTGTCGTAATCACCCCCTTCACCCTTGTGATGGGAATGTTGACCAGAGTCTGCCATGTTGTTACGTAGTCCTCCTTCCCTGGGTCCTATCAGAGTCTCCCTCTTGCCCCGTAGAATCCGTCTGCTATCTACCTGGTACGCGTATTTCACTCGACCCCTCCCCCCCATCTGTGCTACTCGAGAACACGGAAGAATATACGCAAGGAAATGCATAATAAGGAGGAAATTGACAGATGGATGATTAAATCTTTAATCGAAAATGACACAATACCACCGACAGCCTACGGACTATCGAAGATACATAAGAAATGAAATCCACTAAGACTGATAGTCAACAACAAGCACGGAGCAATACACAAACTAGCGCAATTCATTTTGTTGAAGCTCAGGAAAGTAAATGACAGGCTCTCAAATACCATTAGGAATTCATATGAATTTTCTGAAAGAATTCAGAACATTGGGTTAGTAGGGTCAGAACTTTTGGTGAGTTTCGATGTACAATCCATGTACACAAACATCTCAGGTGATAAAGTAGTAAGTACCTTGCTGGAGATATTGGAGCGAGAAGAGGACATCCTGGAGGCAGAACGAACACGGAAAGAATCGTTAACACGACAATAAGGACCACATATTTTACATTTAATGTCAGTATCTATGAGCAAATATTTGGACTAACGATAGGATCTCCACTCTCACCTCTTTTGGCAAATGTGTACATGACCAAGTTGGGCAAGTTTATCATTGAACCTAATCAAAGCTTTTTATTATTCTTGGCTTGTTCCGGTAATCTGTCTGATGAGCTAGTTAGCGTAGCCAGTTTTTCCAGAGAATGATTTACTTCGTTCGATAGTGCGAAATTTAATCATCTTTTCAGTAGAAGCTTCTCATTATCCTCCAGCTCTGTACTGGATAAATTAATTACTTAGTCTTTGCGCAATTTGGTAGACCTATCATTATTATTATTTGCCCTCAAACTTATACTAATACCCGAGTTTTTTTGCCTTTTATCGTGAACTTCCCTGGTCATCTTATAAAATACTTCTCTCAAACCGTCAGCCATATCTTAGTCGGAGTTTGATTTATCAAATAAAACATTATTTCCATTCGCTATTGATTTTCGTTTACTCTTTCTTCTTTTTACTATTATTCTTATTCTTATATATTCTT